AGAAGGAATTATAACTTCCAATACTGAGTCATGAATAGGTAGAAACTCTGAACAAATCAATATGTAAGGAGTTTGAATTTATTAACAAATAACTATTACAAAGGAAAGCCTTAAAACATATGGTCTCATGGATAAATTAGAACACTTTTTCAAGAGGACTAGTATTATTCGTTTTCAGTTTTTCAAAACTTTAAGAATAGTTCTTCAAACTCTGGGACACTTGAGGCAGAAATCCTATCTTCTAGGAAGCAGTAAGTTGCACTCAAAGAAAATATCTTAGGTTGAGGCTGTTTTCCTAATAAAGGGAGCTGGACTGGAAGGCAGAACCCTTCTCACAGTGCGATCCCAACCTTCTCTTCTCTGCAGTCTGATGAGGCACCTTTTCTTGTCAAATGCTTAGTAAAGAAGCCCAATGACCTCCAAATAAATAAATAAAGCAAAACCTTTAAGGGAAGGATACATTTGCAAAGTCACTTGATAACCCTTATGTGGTACAAATACCTAAGTGAGACAAGAATGTATTATAAGAAGACATAATTCAGGCTGGTCGGTCTCTTTGCTAGAGGCCAAACAAAACAAAACAAAACAAACAAACAAACAAAGAACCTGGAAAACTGACTTTAGCAGACATTGAAGGATTATGATCAGATTGGGTTTACCAATAACAGGCAAAAATGAGTTGCACATGAAAACCAATCAATGCAATGAACCACATTAACAGGAAGAGGGAAAAAAATCTTTACAAATTCAATAAATTATCTAATGTATCTGAAAACTTAGCACACATTCATAATTTTAAAGACTCAACAAAATGGGTACAACGGGAATGTACATCAACATCCATTTGGCTATTGAGACAGTCCTGCTTCCAATGGGTAATGGTCAGTATTATAGAAGAGCAAATTAAAAATGGGATTTGGCTAGGTACAGTGGCGTACACCTTTAACCCTAGCACCTGGGAGGCAGAGGCAGGTGGATCTCTGTGAATTTGAAGCCAGTCAGGAATACATGCATAGGAAGGCTGTATCTCAAAAACAAAAAAAAAAATAAAATGATAAATGAACCTGGGTTTTGTTGAGAAAGACAAGAAGAACGCCACTCTGTGGGTAAGAGAGGTAGCACACGGCTGGATTAGCTCAGCAGGTCAGAACGCTGGTTTCCCTTACACAAGTGTCAACAAGCGCAGAGACATCTTATAGGGCAGGGCACACTGATGAAGGATCGGGCCATTACTGGAACAAAGCTGACCTTTACTGGGATTAATAATGCGGGAGAGGGGCCAGTTTGATGGCTTATGCTAAAGAGGCTACTAATGACTAATATCCATTGCCTACTTACTACAAACCAATCATCTCGTGGCATTTAACTTGCCCCACAATTTCATTCATACATGATCATGAAAGGCTAGCAGAATATTTTTGTTGGGTTTAAGTAAAATTGGCTCATAGTGAAAAAAAAATATGATCTTTTTAATCAGCTTAGTGAATACTACCCCTGTTTTCCCTTTCTAAAGAGAAGATCTGGCTTGGTTAGCAACATTCAACTTCCGCTCAAAGATGGGACCACAACCTCAGAAGCTACCACAGTTCTGTTTTACATGTGGACTTAAGTAACTGGTTATAGGAATGCTGAAGAAACTGCCTCACTGCCTCAGGGCTGAGCAATATTTGCCTGTGTTTCTATTTGTCATCATTATCCTGCTACAGGAAATGTTTGAAAAGAGTGAAGCAATTGTTTGTATTCTTATTCTCTATATCAATTTAATCAAATTTCTTGGGTCAAACTTTCACTTACTGAAAGGCAAGTTAGTGTGGTCTTCATGTAATATCAAATAAGGAATATTTAATATTTCTCATATTTTATAGTAGTTATGTAAGTTCATGATTTTTATTTCTTTTAAATCAGCACTGTAGCTACATTAACAAGTTGAGCCTTATTTTCTCATATTGTATTTATCTAAGATTAATTTATAATCCAAGATTGTCCTTAAACATCAATTAAGCAACACACAAAACAGAAGTTACTTGGTGTGGTTGCCTATGGCTGGTGCTTTTTGCAACTCATTAGATAGAACAATTAGATAAGGAAATAGAATGTAAGATATTTAACGATAACACAAATAATTAAAACACAAATCATAAAATGTGACTATATATTAATGACAAAATACACAGCTATCACCTCCTTCAACACTGAAAAGTTGAAATAACTCCTTTAGCATCAGGAACAATGGTGGCCTCTCCCACCACTCCTATTCACTGTGGTACTGGACGACCTAACTGGAAAAAGTAGACAAGGAAAGGAATTCAGATGGCCTCCAATTCGGAATGTACTACATCGTGCATGGCTTGGGTTCTGAAGCCATGACCAGAGGAGATGATGGAATAAAGAAAGGTTGGAAAATGATGGCAGGACAAAGGCATGGATACAGAAAAGCTGGAACCAGGTGGGTTAGGCTGTCTGAAGAAGCTGCAACACCCCAGAAGCTCAGAGTGTTTATTAGATACAACTGAACATGGAGCCAGGTTTAGCTACTCTCAGTAGGAGCAGTGTCTACAGGGGAGCAGACTTCAGGCAGTGACCATCCAGTGGGAGAAAGCAACAGGGGACATTTTCTGTCCATACTGTCCATGCTCCCACACACAGAATGGAAGTGTAATTATCTCTCTGTAATGATAATGTGATCATCTATAGAGTAAACCCTAAAAATTCTACATAGTACACATACAGCTCACATACATACATGTTGGACATAAAGAACAAGTTTGTACAGTACCAGGATAAATCATAGACAGGTCTTTTGCAGTTGCACAGAAGTAGAAAGAAATCCATGTCTAAGAACGTTAAAACACAAAATATTTAACGGTAAAATTCTGATGCACTGTTACCAGGAAACTGAGCTGGTACAACCATTAAGTAAATCAGTAAAGAAGTTCCTCCAAACACTGGCTGTGGTGTAGCATTCTCACTTTGGGATATATAGACTGAAACATAAAAATATCGTCACCTAAAGACGTCCACATTCATGTTCTTTGCAGTATCACTCACTAAAGTGAAAACTTGGAAACAACCTGTATGTTAGTTACTGAGGTCTTTCAGGTACCAGCCCCTTAGACCTCTTCAGGGTCCAGCCAAGATTCTACAGCCAGTAAGAGAACTAACTGAAAAAGATCTGAGGGCGAAATGAATTCTCCACTATGTACTTTTTCACACCAGTTTCTTTACTCTTTTGCTTCTACTCTAATAATCCTGTCTTACTTTAATTTCTCCCAACTTCTTCCAGTTTCTTCTATTCTAGTCTCTCAAACATCCCCCTTCCCATGGAGGCTTGAAGCAAAAGAAGGAGTTACATGAACAGATAGCTCTCACTGGTTAGAAGCACATTTCTAGGGAAAGCAATAAGGGTAAAGGCATTGCCATAGCAATGTAAGGGCCCAAGGCCATAGGAGCAAAACTGCGACCTGAGCGGGGGGCTGTGGGTGGCACAGTGCCCAGTGACAACTTTGAGACACAGATCCATTGTTAGTAGACAGGCAAGTGAAGAATTGGCATGCTTTTCTTAGTAACCTTGGTTGGACATCTGCAGCTCTGACATAGCTGTAAGGGTTTAAACTTATGATCTATTTATAAAAGGCCTTTTAGTCTAGTTTGAACTTGCTCTGAGGTGAAAGTGATCTATTGTGTGCAGTTAATCTAAGTAAGAGAACAAGGCAGGCTGTTCAGAGTCCACAGACCTTGTGGGACAAATAGTTCTGGTTATGAAGCATGTCCCAGTATATATTCTAGATATCAAAACTATATAGTTAAATGGAAAGTCATGTTCTAGACCACCCACAGATATATGTGCCCAGTAATTGATTAATACAGTTTTGGGGTTAATGAGATGAATGTCACCATACAAAGGGAGCACTGTGGCTCTACAGGGAATTTGCAGCAAGGACAGTGACTATTGAAAAAGCAGACTCCCACTGCCCTGCATTTGGTCTCCTCCATCAGAATGTGTGATCCCTGTGGGTTATCCTTGTGATTTGTCAGCTGAGTTCTCACTGTGTAGTCCTATGGACCACAGGGTCAGTGGATGAGTTGGTCATAAATGTTTAACACCTACCTGTGTGTGTATTAACACACTGAAACATTGGTCCATCATGAAATGAGCATCGTCGAATGTGCAGCAATGGATGAATGTAGGGGGTGTTCATCTATGGTGAACAAGTACAAGAAGGATCAGTATCCGATCTCACTTATAAACAATGTCTGAAAACATAAACTGCAGGAATTAGAGAGAAAATCCATGGTGGCAGGGGTTTGATGTTGGAATCCCTGACATGTTGAAGAAAGGGCACAAACAGACAGATAAAATAAAAGTAAATACTGAGGGTCCAAGATACAATAGAGTAACAATAGTTAACACTATCCTGAATATCTGAACTTTCTTAGAAAGCCCTTAAGTGTTCTTAACACACATACATGCACACACACACACACACACACACACACACACACACACACACGAACACACACTGGTAACTATATTAAGTAATGGATGGTGTCACCCTGCTTTGCATAGTAGTTTCAGAGTAAATATATATATATTAATATTAAAAGCCAGACACTATAATTTAAATGTACATAATTTTATTTCTCAAGTGCATGTCAACAAAGCCAAAGGCAGAGTAAGACAGAGGAAAAAAAAAACCGATAAATGGGAAGAACATAGCATACAATTGTGGGAGTTAATGAAAGCTTGAAGGGGAAATGAAAGCCCCATATGTGCACAAAACGATCAATGTACAGTGACCTGGCACACGGGAAATCCTAGAGAAAGGTCATCGTGTGTAGGACTAAGTGGATGAATACGCAAGCAGACATGCTGTCCTCACATGTATAACCATTTGCTGCCTATTTAAATTCTGTAACCCTCTCTTTGACATGAAAAATGCTCTAGGTATCTGTGTAATAGTGGATAAAAATGCAATCACGTGTCCATGGTGAACGCTTTCTCATACGTATATTTTCTTCCTCTGACAAACTGACTTCTGTTTCACACTGCAAGGGCTGTCATTCCAGCCCCAACTAGAACGTGGATGATTTACTATAACACATTGTTCCTTGTCGTTGTTGGGCTCACCTGGGTGCCAGAACCTGAAAGGGAGGAAAGATCATCAGGGTGTTTCCTACAGCAATGCTGGGAAAGAGAAGGCACAGTAAGCAAGTCTGAGGATGAGGCTGGAATTTGTGGAAATCAGATTCAAGTGTGTGCAAAGCAGCCGTTCTCCACCACCCATATCTGACATTTCCCTGGAAAACACAGCCCACCACATTCAATGTTCTCTTAGCTTGTCACTTAACTGTTCTCCCAGGACACATCCCAGAGGCTACTTCATCCCTAGGTCTCGGTACCTGGGGCTGTCATTCCATAGGTGCTAATTTACAAGCTGAAAAGGTCTCCTTATTCTCCTGTTTTACTAAAATTTTTTCATTTTTACAAGTCTTATTTTAGAGAATGGGGAGCTAGTTAAAATATTGAGATAATCTAATTTTTTCTAACATCTAGGACAAGTAATTTAATACCCTGGATTCCTACATTCTTCTCTGAAAACTCACAATGACAATGCCATCACTACCTATTTCTCACAACAGAAAGCAGGATAGAATATGAAAAAATACTAAGATATTAGAGTTTTAAAATAATTACATAAATATAAAACATAACTGTATCAGATTGAAGCTTTTGATTTAAGAGAAATAATCAGTTATGATCTTGACATTAATTTTTGCCATGAAGATATAAATTAAAGCTGGAGAGATGGCTCAGAAATTAGGAGTGCTTGCTGCTTTTCCACAAAATGTGAGAGTTCTGTTCCCAGCACTCATATTGGCGTGGCCATACCACCTGTGACTCGAGCTCCAGGTGACCCAACAACCTCTCATGGGCTCCATGGCATACACATGACACACAGAGAGGTACATGTGCACATACACACAAATAAAAGTAAAAATGGGTCATAGTTTCTAAAATAGAGATGAGTGCCTGAAAGTGTAACAAAACACACCTAGGTATAAGCACCTAGATTGTGTACCCTGGGTACTTATCATTCTACACTCTTCACACTCATCTCTACCTGGAGCATCAGCAACCCGTGTCTCACAGGACTCCTGTGTTGAGTACATGGGGCTAAAAGTAACTCCATCCCCAGCAGCCACACCAGGACTGAGCTGCTTTAGTTTCACAACCAACAGCTGGAACACCCTAAAGTCTTCTCATGCCACAGCACACAGGCCTCTCTAGGTAACTCTAGACTCACGTGGCAATTCCATTGTATGGTGTCTGATCAACCCATCGCCACTGCCGATGACCTGGATCCGAAAGCCCGATAAAATAAGCATCATGAACATTCAGGATCTTGGTGATGAAATCCTAAGAGGAAGGAAAGATGAAGCATTCAGCCTGGATGGAGGGCTGCTGTTTCTGTTATAGAAGTTTTATATGCTCTTTTAAAAATTATTATAACAACATAAAATTATAGGTTCAGTGTGATGCACATATGCAAATATATAATAATCAAACATAGTTCATCTCTCCAACCCTTAAACAGTTTTCAAATTTTAGATTCATACACAATAATTGTACATTTTAGAGGTACTCTGTGATACTTTTTCTGGTCACACAGAGATGAGAAGACAAAGAAAGGATCAAGGACTAGAAGAGCCACCCCCACCCCCAGGAGGGCCATCGTCTCCATCTGACCAGGACACAAAGTCATCACCCATAGGCCTGATTTCCATGTCACTGGAAACAATCTCTGCCATGATCATAGTAATTCTCATCTCAGACTCACTCCCCTCTTTTCTTCCCCAAGACCGTTCTTGAAAGTTGTACATGACAGAATTTTGCAGATGAATCATTCTCCACTCATAACTTTGGATATTTCCTTTCTTTTTTTATTATTTTTTATTAATTTATTCTATTTTATATAACAAAGTCCAATTAAATGAAAACAATATACACAATATTTGGGAATTTGGGCGTTGTTCTTTCCAAACTACTTCCTGCTGGTAAGGGGCACTATCATGGGGGATTCGACTGCTGATTCCATCCCATTTCCCTAGTCAGCTCTGCGCCCTCCTCTGTTAGGCAGTTGCTACTACAGGAAGCATTAGAGGGCTGGGATGGCACACTGGTCTTTCAGGCAGAAACATTTCATCCTTCCCTCCACCCTCAGGCCTGGCAAGTCTGTTGCCATGGTTCCTTGTGGGCTGTTTAGCTCCACTGAAGCAGGAGCAAGGTGTAGAATGCCAAGGCTGAAGCTACCTTTCCGGCTATCTGATTGATGGAAAGCCTTCTGCCACATCACCAACTCCCATGTCCGCAAAACTCCCTCTCAGTAAAATGAGGCAGACACCAGGCAGGCCCCAGGCGCCACTCCCTCCCACAATGCACCTGCTCTTCCTTGCTGTGGACCACCATCAGATGAGCGCCCATGCTGAAGCACTTCTCCTCACTCTCGCTCCAGTTTGCCGAGGCAGTGGGAATGAAGTAGCAGTGGGAACTAAACGGCTTCCAGTCCTTTGGGCAACAGCTCCAGAACTTGTCTATCCGGGAGGAAGGAGATGTGAGTCAATGTCATTAAGTCATTTAAAAGTTGTTGTGTGCAGAGACCACATGGGAGCTGGGACTCCCACTTCTCCAGATGTAACAAGGAGCCTCTCCCCGTCAGGTGCCAAGAAACCCCAGTCTACCTCTGTGAACACTAACATCAGTTCCCTTTGTCCTACGGGGTGCTGTCAGGAATGCAGTGTAAAGGCTACTCAGACACCAAGGACATACGACAAATGCCCTTGTCTCCAAAGAATAGAACTTATACCAAGAACAAGAAGGTTTTGTAATATTATATGTTGTATTTAAATAACACATGTCAATAATGGCAGCAAAATCCTGAGAGAGATTTTTTAGTGATAAAAAATAAAAGTACTTCACACAAATATTACAAAGATTCTAGAAATAAATGTAAAATAGAATGCCTCAGGAAAGTAAAATATATAAACACCCAATGTGTGCAAATATAACTTTTTTATTTTTGAAAACATTTTAACCATTGCATAATGTTCCATTACAATGATATATGACCATATTTTTTTTTTTAACAGATCCCAATTTTCGCCAGTTACTTAGGGGGTTGCTTTTCGTTACAACCCTCTAAGAATTATAGCAAATCAACTTTTGTCTACACTAGTTAATTGTGTCCTAGGGAAGAATTTTAAATAATAAATTGCTGGATCAAAGGATCAAATGTTTTGTAAATATAACTTCTCATATCTGTAATAATATGTTTTTCCATTTTATAATAAAAAATGATAAAATAATCTTTTTTAAATGTAGAGGTTATAGTATGATGGATTGCAAAATCAGGAGAAACAAAACCATAGAAATTGAATTTAAAAACAGTCTCCTATCATGATCCTTAACTGCCTATACCAAATAAGAGAGGTTTAAAATATATGAAAAATGAAAAAAATTAATTGAGAAACAGATCATGCAGGTACACAGAGATATATTCACACGCTTATATGTATCCCTATGTGCTTGTGTGGACACCAAGAATGTCAAAGAGCTAAGAGAGCAATCAAAGAGTGGGAGGGGATAGAAGAATGAACAGCCAAAGCATGCAGTGTTAAGCAAAGAACTAAGAAATTACGTTTGCAGTGGTAAACATAACAAGGCTCGGAGAACAAAGAGTAGTGCGCAACATCATGAGGAACCTGGATAGACATAGAAAGATACATTATTCTGTCTCTTGAGAAACCTAACTCAATATTCCACCATAGTGTGGCCTATTGGTCACAACATCCTTCCAAAAATTATACTGTGGAAATAGATTTTTTAAAAAAGATCAGTTTCTTTACATTTAATTAAAATATAATTATATCATTTCCCCTCCTTCTCTTCCCTCCAAACCCTGTATGTTCCCTTCTCCCTCTCAAATCCATAGCCTACTTTTAGTGTTATAAGAACTACAGGCAATTAATGACTGCTGAGAGAGGGACAATTAATCTTCAACATGGATGAACCTCCTAATTGGTTATCCAGTACCAAATCATTAGCCCTAGAAAGGTACACTTCTATCAACCAAACACTGCATAGCAAGATGCAATTATGCTAGGCACAATCCCACATATCATGTCTGGAAGAGGCAACCCAGTAGTAGGGAAAAGGTCCCATGAGCAAGGAGGGCTGATCTTTCCTGAAGGGAAATGGAGGGGCAGTGAATCTGGGGGAGAGGGAGGTGACTGGGGTGGGACCTGCAGGAGGGATGGGAGGCTGCCGTTGGGATGTACTGTATAAAAGAAGAACATTTTTCCAAAAAAGAAAAGAAGAGACTCAGATGATGAAAAAGACACACTTGTATGTGGCCTACCTTAAGTAGACCATCAGGTGATAATGGCGGTCTATAGTCATTTGTATAGTTTAGACCCTGTGCATGGTGTGATTAAACTAGCATTTCACACCTGCCATCTGCCTCTCCAAAAATAATTTCTCAAATTTCAATACAGGAATATCCTATAGTATACCAGATCAGCCATCCTCAAAACTGATATTCAGAATCATTTAAAAACAAGGACCTTCTGAAAATTCATCCCGACCAAGAGAAGACTAAAGAGATGTGACAGCTAAATATGGTGGTTATATCACTGATGAGAGTCTAGTAACCATGAACTTCAATCAGCAATGATGTCAGTTGGTAGCTGTAGCAACCACGTCTATGTATAAAAATGTTCATATGGACAGTGGACAGTGTATGAATATGTGGGGTTAGAATGATATCTTTATATCTTATGAAATCTAAGAATTTGAAAATGTTCTCAAGGAGTCTGTTAAAGCTTTAAGTAATTTGTATTCATGATACAGGGCATCATCATTTTCTTCAAAATATATATTTTTAAGGCTTATTTATTTAGTGTGTATGCAGCGTTCTGCCTGCATGTGTATCTGCATGGTGGAAAAGGGTATCAGATCTCATTACAAATGGTTGTAAGCTACCATGAGTTTTCTGGGAATTGAACTAAGGACCCTGAAGCTAGTGCTCTTAACCTCTGAGCCATCTCTCCAGTCCATATGTGTGTGTGTACACATATATGTATGTATACACTGCATGTGCATGTGCGTATGCATGTGTGTACTGAGGTGAGAAACAGCAAGTGTACAAAGATGGTTCAGAAAGAAACAGAGGCTAGAAAAGTCTATGAACAATAGAACCCACTCGCTACAAATGGCGCCCACGTGGCTAGTAAGAACTTCCACTTAAAATTTAACAAAAGCTTAAAAAAGGGATTTAGAAACAAAAGAAAAGAGACAAGCAAGGTTTCTTGGTAGCAGCATTTTTCTCGGTTGGACTCTGTTTTGCGAGAGACAAGCAGATATTTGCGCGGCTCCTTAAAGGGAGGATTCCTGACTCAGCATAAGTGACAAAAAAACCACAAGGCTTTTAAGAAACTCTGCTAACAATTCATTGGTGTGTATGAGAGATGGCAATGGCAGTGACCACATCTCCAAGCCGGCAGCGTTGACCAGGGCAGTGACCACAGCTTTCATTGCTGGCGGTAAAAGCACCCGCCACCATCTTTGATAACCGCGGCAGAAACAAAGACTTTCATTTTAACAACGTTGTTGTTTAACAGATAAAGACTCATGGCCAGAAAAAGATAAAGATTTACAGTAAAGACAGATTCACATTAAGAAAAGGTGCTAAAAGTTTACAGTGTGTTTTAAAAAAATACGTAGGCTTGGGGGGAAAATGGTTTTAAAAAGACAGAGAGGAGCTGGGTGTGGTGGCACACGCCTTTAATCCCAGCACTCAAGAGACAGAGGCAAGCAGAACTCTGTGATTTGCAAAGTAAACCTGGTATGCAGAGTAAATTCCAGGACAGATAAGAGTTACATAGTGAAACCCTATGTAAAAAAAATAAAAGTAAAATAAACAGAGTAATATAAAGCCACGTAAAGATGAAAAGCTCAGAGAGAATCTGGTTACTGTATGCTATTGTGTTGTTTTTTTATTGTTTGACTGCTGAGGAAACAACTGTTAAAACAAATGCTGCTGAATTAATTCAATTTATATATTTTAAAAATGCTTTGACTTCAAAATTTAAGTTCAAGGACAAGTTACTGGGGAAAAGGATTTCTATTTTTGTTTCCACAGAAAATAAAAAGCTGTGGATTCCTTCCAGACTAATGTGGTTTGATCAAGCCAGACCGCCTAAAACAGAGTACCAGGTGATCCTACATTCAAAACAGCTGAACAAAGCAGTCTTGCAGACTACAGCCAAGATTTCTGAGTCTTCTCAGGATCCCCCATGACAGCGCCCCATCAGCAGGAAGTAGTTTGGAAAGAACGACGCCCAAATTCCCAAATATTGTTTATAAATGTTTGTTTTCATTTAAATGGACTTGGTTATAAATGGTTAATGATCACAACCAATATCTTTTAAAGGTAAAAAGGGGATTATGGTATAGATATGAATACTTCATTTTGGAATGGATTTTCATTTATTGATACAATTTAAGATCAGTGTTGTGATATGTATATTTCTCTTCTTGTTTATGTATTGTGTTTATATAGCTCATTTAAAAATGTAATGTATAATTTAGTACAGATTTTACATAGTTACCTATAATAGTCAAAACTTATAGCTAGGTGAGTTAGATTTTCAAGATACACAGAGATGTATTTGAGATAGGCATTCTTTAAACCTTTCAAAGACCTACAGAATATGGCATTTAAAATGGTTTAGGGTTTTCGTGACAGTGAGACATAATTGCTCTTGGCAATACCACCTGCACCAGAAAGGAAGATGGACATTGAAGAAACTCGTTATGGAGTTTGCTTCCAATATGGCAAGACTAGCCATTTGAACAAGATACTGCTCTTGTCTGGACTGTTTGACTTTTTGATGTATAAACTGGACATGCAGGATCCACAGAAAGTGACTGCTGATTCAAGATAGACATTGCTACAGAGTTCCTGCTTCGTGGAAGAGTCTGCCAGACAGTCTGCAGAACACAGAAAAAAGTGACGGACAAACTGCAAATACAAGAAGACAGTTTAAAGTCTCCTACTTTGCTAAAGAGTCTGCCAGACACACTATGGCCTATGGGCTGAAGATGGAAGATTACAAAAGAACTTCGGGTGGCCAGGCAGTGAGATGTCTCTGTCATTTCTAGAGTTTATATATTATCCTTCTGTGGTCTTTGAAGAAGTTGAAGACAGATAATAATGGTTATAGTTTTCATTAGTTAGGGTTAAAGATAAGTTACTTAGACTTTAGACACACAAAGATAAAATAGATGATGAAATATTTTCTTCAAATCTTGCTAAATGTTAATGGACTAAATATTGATAAGTGTGATTCTTGATAACTGTTGTATAATATATTTTGCTATGTTAAGGTTAAAACCCTTCTTTTTATTTAGACAGAAAAGAGGAGATGATGGGAGATGTCATTCTGTATATGTTTCTCATACTTGTTAATAATATTATTATAATAATAATATTGGCACTGTTGGCCAATAGGAAAGGAAGATAGGAGGGACTAGG